TAGAGGCAAAAACAACATGGTATGGAAGAGCAAGAGTTGAGAGTGTGCAAATCTACGCTAGGTGCACGGAGGGATTTCATTCCATTTACTGGGAGTTACAGTTGTGGCCAAAATTATTCAACCCCCAATGCTGTAAAGGGGTTTAGGGACTATAGTGTACATTTGGAATTGTATTCAGAATCAAATCCTACAAGGACGTTGTAACTACCCAAATGCAACTAAAATGACATCAATTGTTTATGTAATACAGTAGTAAATGGTTCTTATGTGGTTTCTTCATTGCCACAATTATTCAACCCTTAAAGACTACCACTCTGAAGAACAGAGGTTCATACAGGTGCTTTCCATCAGGTATTGAAAACACCTGTGGATGTCACCGAGCAGCAATCAAGCATAATAAGCACCAATTAGGCAGCTTTAAAATGACTGTGATACTCAGCTCCTTCTAGACATTTACTGGTGTGGTTACAAACATGGTGAAGGCAAGAATGGTCCAGGAAGACAAGAGAAGAGGTGATTTCTCTTCACAGGAAGGGCAATGGCTATAAGAAGATTGCAAAGATGTTTAAACATACCAAGAGACACCTTAGGAAGCATCATTCGCAAATTCAAGGCAAAGGGCACTGTTGAAACGCTACCTGGTCGTGGCAGAAAGAAGATGCTGACTTCGACTGCTGTGCGCTACCTGAAGCGTAGAGTGGAGAGAAGTCCCCGTGTGACTGCTGAGGAACTGAGAAAAGATTTGTCAGATGTGGGTACAGAAGTTTCAGCCCAGACAATAAGACGCACACTGCGTAATGAAGGCCTCCGTGCCAGAACTCCCAGGCGTACCCCCTTGCTGTCTCCAAAGAATAAGAAGAGTCGACTGCAGTATGCCAAAAGCCATGTGGACAAACCACAAAAGTTGTGGGATAGTGTTCTGTGGACTGATGAAACAAAATTAGAACTGTTTGGGCCCATGGATCAACGCTATGTTTGGAGGAGGAAGAACAAGGCCTATGATGAAAAGAACACCTTGCCTACTGTGAAGCATGGTGGAGGGTCAATCATGCTTTGGGGCTGTTTTGCTTCTGCAGGTACAGGGAAGCTTCAGCGTGTGCAAGGTACCATGAATTCTCTTCAGTACCAGGAGATATTGGATGGAAACGTGATGCAGTCCGTCACACACCTGAGGCTTGGGAGACGTTGGACCTTTCAACAGGACAATGATCCCAAGCATACCTCCAAGTCCACTAGAGCATGGTTGCAGAGGAAAGGCTGGAACATTTTGGAGTGGCCATCGCAGTCACCAGACTTAAATCCGATTGAGAACCTCTGGTGGGACTTAAAGAAAGCAGTTGCAGTGCGCAAGCCTAAGAATGTGACTGAACTGGAGGCCTTTGCCCATGAAGAATGGGCGAAGATACCCGTTAGATCGCTGCAAGACACTTGTGTCAAGCTATGCTTCACGTTTAAAAGCTGTTATAACTGTAAAAGGATGCTGTACTAAGTACTAAGATTGAATGTCACTTGGGGGTTGAATAAAACTGATAATGCTGTGAGCACAGAAAAGACATTTGTGGTTATTTCATTATAACTGTTATGTTATATTTGTCTGACCTACAAGTGCCTCTTTAATGTAAATGTAAGCAAGATGACTGAATGATCAAAAGCAATGTCAAACTGGCCAAAACACTCAATTTCAGTGGGGGTTGAATAATTTTGGACACAACTGTATATGTAAATCCTCACCTTGTAAAACAAACTATTCAGTTTAAAATAGAAATGAAAGGCAAAACATTTGTGTGCATCTCTCACTCTCATCTGACATCTCACTTTAGCCTTACCGTTAAACCATCCTTTCATAACCTTTTTACCCCAGAGGAACCCTTAACCCCTTCTTGCCGAGCATAAGCACATACTCAGTTTGCTCTTCTATAGGTTTGAACCTGTGTTTGTGCTAAAAACACGCTGGACAGCATGCTCCCAGTACAGAGACTGAGCTGTCACCAACAGCTACAGGTCTCATACTAATGATTAAGAGCAGAGAGGACCAGCTCTCAATAACCTGACTGCTGTGATAGCCTGGGGCTGGTTATCACAGCAATCAGTCACTTTACAGTCCTCACCTGTGTTATTTCTCCTCTTGAATGGAGGGAAATATACATTGTATCTTTTTCTCCTTACTAGAGGAGAGGACTAAAATAAAAACAAAACAAAAAAAAAAAATAAAGATAAAATAGCTAGGTTGGGGTTTGATGTAGATCAGTGTCAGGGTTAAGGTCAGAGGTCAAAGTCAGATTCATAGCTCAGAGACAGTGTGCTTTAGGTAGGTTTAAAAAGGAGAAATGTGTACTATTGTTTCTTGGTCCCACTACGGGTACAAACAACAAATAATATACACATACACTATGTGGTATGACTATGATCGCCAGGAAAAGGGGAATTTATTTTGGGTTGTTCTTTAATGGTAGGTTATAGTAATAGCAAGAAATATACAGCTATTTCTTTATGGTTTTTTTTTTGTTTTACTAATTTGTGCCAGCTTTCTTTTTATTGTTAGAAAAAGAAAAAAAAATCAGGAAAAATCCATTGCAATTTATCCAATCTGTAATCAAACGGCAAAGTGTTTAAATAGTAGTAGCACTGTGATAGTACCCCAAACCATATATAATCACACACAATATAAAGTGTCACTATAAATAAAAATATAATAAAAAAAAGTACACAGTGTTTTCACAAAGTGAATTGTGTGATGAACAATCTAAAACACATTTTCTTCCACCACAACGATACCACCAGTGAACTGAACAGGAATGGATGGACCGATAAGGTGCACCTGAAAAACAGACCCCATCGGTACGCTCGTGTGAAAGGGGCCTATGGAGTGCTACTCCAACCCAGAGGGACTTAGCAATTCCTCCGTTAGTTCTCACATAAGGTGGTTAGATCATGCAAAAGTAAGGGACACTCCAATAGTGAAATACTGCTAAAAGCATCAGACTTTATTCCAAAAAAAACCTGCTCACCAGACAATTTCTTGTTACATTACATAGCATCAATATATTAAAACTGTGACCATCACATCAGAAAAGCAAGAATGCCACAAGCAAGGAATCGCCAGAGTCTCACCACATGCCCGGGGCCCGCTATGCCGTCACTTCTGATAACAAAACATCCACCAACATCACATCTGGTTTCCACCAGACCATGTTTTGTCATTTCCAACTTTGTCAAGGGATTCCCACGGTTTGCCATTTATTCCCAGGGATTGCCATTCATCACCAGATCAAAGCCCAATTTATCCTGAAAAAAACAAGGCATAATTTATCTGAATACAGCAGTAGTTGTGATGATATGTACAGTTTTACAGTTAGCCAGCTCAGTGGATTGCTTTAAAAAAGGCCTGAATTCTTTCCTAGATACACAGAATATAACTGGATACTAACATTTATAGGTAAAGTTGATCCAGGGAATATCCGATTGCCTCTCGGGGGATCAGGAAGAAATTTTTTTCCCAGCAGGCGCAAATTGGATCATGCTTTGCTGTTTTTTTAATTTCCTCTGGATCAACTGTGGGTATAGGATTAGAACTTTTTTTTTATGGTTGATCTGGATGGACTTTTTCAGCCAGACTATGTAACTAACAGATGTCAACGTTACATAACTGTGTTCAGGCATTAAGATTTGTTTTATCTTTGTCATGAAGCGAATAAAGTGATTGTAAAGGCTTCCTTTTTCATCTAAAATAATAAACATGTCATACTTCTCTTCCCAAAACCATTGCACAGAATAGCCCCAATCCTCCTCTTCTGCGGTCCCCCGTTGGCGCTCTATGCTCCTCCTATGGGAGCGCACCTGCAGGCTTACTCCTGAGTCGGGCTGTGTCCATCCATAGACATACACAGCGTGTGCTCAGAACCACTCCCTCCTCATAGGATTTGATTGAGCTAATGGCTCCTACTGCTGCCTCTGTGCCTGTGTGAAGAGGGAGAGAGAGAGAAGAGCTGGCTGCAGACAGGCACAGCACTGAATCAAGGTAAATATATAGGGGGTTGAGGGGCTGATACACTTTGAGACATTTTTCCCTTATTGCAGAGAATATTTTAAAGTAAAAAAAAGAAGTCTCACCTTTAAAGTGTTACTAAACCCACAACAGTAAAATCAGTCTGTATATGTAGTAAAGCATGCGTGTTATACTCACTGTGGAACTTACAGGGTTTATCCTCCGCATTGTGTAAAAAGGATGTTTGATCCTGTCTTCTCTGATCCTCCCCTTCTACTGTCCCCAATCTATCTGCTGATAGAAAAGAGCCCTAGGAGGCACACTGCACATGCTCAGTTTGGTTAGTATTGTTAGTTTTATTTTCTTGGGAGAGTGCATGCGATCAGCACAGGGTCAATCAGCACTGTCCAGACAGAGGGCCAGGGGTTATGCCTTATAGGGGTTAGGTTAGGATCAGGGGTTTGCAGTCTCATAGGACAATCTGAGGAGAATGAAAACTTCTCCTAAAAGCTTTAACCAGTTCTCTGCTGGACACTGATAAAAGTCACAAGATTGCTCTAATTGCTGATGAGAAAAGGTATTATTTAGCAGTTTATATTTACTAAAATAATTGCACTTCCATGTTCTGTGTACTGTGGGAGACCAGATATAGCGAATGTAGGGTCCTGGGTTTAGGAAAACTTTCACTAATGTTTGTCTTTCTATCACAATGCTGATGTTCTAAAAATTAAAATGCATACTACATCATAGATTCTCCTTATATCAGCTGGTGTACTTGCTGTGTGCAGAATAAAAATCATGTACAGTAGATGGGTTTTCTCCTTCATATGGATATAATACAGTACTAATCTATGTGTCATTTCGTGGTCTCCAGCAAGATGGCGCTGCTGTGTATAAGAGGCGGACAGTCCGAGGAGCGTGTTCCTCTGGTGTTTGCACTGGGAGACAGAGCGGAGAGGCAGTCACTTCTCTCGTGTGAATTGGAGAAGGATGTGGAGGAAGTGATTGGTCAGCTATGCTGTGTGTCCTGAGTGTGCTGTGCATTCTGCTGAGCCTTTACCTGCCTGTACTCTGCCAGGGGACACAAGGGGACAACAACCACACTGGTCAGCCCAGTACAGCGCCGTCTGCTGACAATGACACACATCGCACCTTCCTGGAGATGTTCGGCACCAAGTACCCGGCCCCTACGAGTCTCGGGGAAGAACGATACGGAGTGTTCCTGGTAGGCTGGCCGTTCTCGGGGGGAGGTCTGCGGGATGAGAGTTCATCCATTGTGGGCTAGTACAGAGGCGGAGTGTCCAGCAGGGGGCAGCCGAAGGGGAAGACAAGGCTTCTTCCTATTCTTACAATGACAAGGTCTATTTAACCACTTCACTACCAGACTGTTCAGCATTGGCGTAGATTGAGCGACCAGCCTTGCCTCGTACACCGCTGCACCCAATCTCCTTTTATATTTTATAAAAGGAGATTGGGTGCAATGGTTTTGGGAAGAGAAGTATGACATGTTTATTGAGACCGAAATATTTATAACTACTTCCCTGTCTGGCCAATTCTGACATCTCTCTCCTACATGTAAAAATCTTTTTTATTTTTCTAGAAAATGACTTGGAACCCCCAAATGACACATTTTGTTGAGCAGAGGGCCCTAGAGAAGAAAATGGTGGGGGTTGCAATGTTTTGTCACATGGTATTTGGGCAGTGGCTTTTCAAGCGCAATGTTTATTGAAATAAATACAGTTTAGCCGCTTCCCGCCCACCATATAAGGAAATGACGGCGGTTCTCTCGTTCTGGGAGGACGTCATATGACATCAGCCCACTAACTGTGCATGTGCACCCCCCTGGGACACAGCGGATCACCGATCACACTAAAGAGTTGATGATGTAAGCTCTGATATGTGATTAGCTGTGTCCAATCACAGCTGATTGCATGTAAACAAGGAAATGCTGGTTATCGGTAGTCCTCCTTCCACTGACCGCGCATGAGGAGAGGAGAGCCTGTAGTTGGCATTACTCAGAGGGGACATCTACACTGATCATCAGTGTAGCCCCGGCAGTGCCCCTCAATGCCACACACAAGTGCACATCGATGGCACATCAGTGCTCATCAGAGCTGCCAGTGAGTGCCATCTATCAGTGCCATATATGAGTGCTGCCTTTCAGTGCCCATCGGTGATGCCTGTCAATGCCCATCAGTGCCACCTATCATTGCCCATCACTGCACCCTCATTAACGCACATCAGTGAAGGAGAAAAATTACTTATATATAACATTTTATAACAGAAACTAACAAAAAAACTTTTTTTTTTTCAAAAAATTTCAGTCTTTTTTAGTTTTGTTTTGCAAAAAATAAAAAAACCCAGTGGTGATTAAATACCACCAAAAGAAAGCTCTATATGTCTCAAAAAAAAAAAAAAAAAAATCACAAAAATGTTATTTTGGTGCAGTGTTGCATGATCGCACAATTGTCATTCAAGGTGCTACAACGCTGAAAGCTGAAAATTGGCCTGGGCAGGAAGGGGGTAAAAGTGTCCAGTAGGCAAGTGGTTAAAGGATGAGTTCACCTTTTGGACAGAAATAATAAATACACTTTTTTTTTTTTTTTTTTTTGTAGGTAAAAAAAAATGTGCATTTATTATTTTGTCTACAGGAGCCTGTAAACACATTGCACCTGCGATCAGTAGATCACTGGTGCCATGCAGGTCTCTTGCAGACCTGTCAGAATATCTGCTTGCTGTATGGGATGCATTCCTTATATTCCTTCTGTTCTGAAATGTATTGTAATTGTACTGTCTCCCTTATATTGTAAAGCACTGCACAAACTGTTGGCGCTATATAAATCCTATATAATAATATACAAGCAAACAGATATTTTGACAGGAAGCTTCAATGAACTACCACCGTGCTCCACAGCGCCATGGTAGTTCATTGAAAAGTACAAGCCCACAGCTGCTAAGGCTACCGGGACTTGCAGTTCATTCATTCACAGAAGTCTGAGAATGACCGACGCGGCCATGTGGGCGGAGCCCCGCACAGCTGCACTGTTTTTAAATTTGACAGTACGGGGAAAATTCTTTCCATATTATCTGTCAGAAGGAGGGGGGGCGGCTGGCAGCGGCTACTGCTATGGGACCATGTTACACGTTCCACCATGAAAACGGGTGGAACATGTTCTCAAAGGTGAACTTATCCTTCAATGAATTTTATTGCACATAAACACAATATAATTACTACCCGTTTTTGGTAAAATATAAAAACTGATGTTATGCTGAGTAAATGGCTATCCTGACAGCCCATGTTTAAGTTCAACTAAAGAGCGGCCTCTGCCTATACTACTCCTAGGCCATGCTCTCCATGAATGGGTATAGCCTGGGAGTGGCGTAGCCTGAGGCCGCTCTTTAGTTGAACTTGCACATGGGCTCTCAGGCCGCTCTTTAGTTGAACTTGCACATGGGCTCTCAGGCCGCTCTTTAGTGAACTTGCACATGGGCTCTCAGGCCGCTCTTTAGTTGAACTTGCACATGGGCTCTCAGGCCGCTCTTTAGTTGAACTTGCACATGGGCTCTCAGGCCGCTCTTTAGTTGAACTTGCCCATGGGCTCTCAGGCCGCTCTTTAGTTGAACTTGCACATGGGCTCTCAGGCCGCTCTTTAGTTGAACTTGCCCATGGGCTCTCAGGAGTGTGGTGTCCTTCCATCTCACATTATGTGGGGCTTGGATGAGCACCACAGATGCCTACACAAACTACACAGTACTAGGCGCTTGCAGTGGCACTCAAAGCTATTAGATGGTGTACAAAAGAATGTCATCCAGGAATGCCTAGGGCAAACAAGAGAAAGCAGAAACGGTTTGAAGGTTTCCTGATCACTCTTTTCAACATCCCCCACAACCCCTTCAAAATACTGTTTCTCATTATAGAGTTCGCCCAAAATGTCTCATGGTGGAGAAAAGAACACAAAGTGAGGAACACGTTATGAGATTTTGTGTGCCATCTATCATTGTGGAAAATTGAGTCTTGCCACACCAGTGCAAATTGTAAAAAATATCAATATTCATAAAAACAATCAATGTGCATTAAAATAAAATGAACCAATGTGAATGAAAGACAAGTCAGCGCATTAATGATGAAACCAGTCCACATAGATGTCTGCATGTGCAATCAAAGTGCAACAAAGGTGATTCTTCATTTGTGCTTTCCAATGGCACCATGTTTATCTCCTACTCACCTCCCTGCCTGTCTCCAGCACTGCACCCAGGAACTAGCTGGGAGAGGAGACACCTTGTAGTGTGATGAGCACCGATTGGGTGCTCATCAGGAAAGGGAAGTGTTGTGCTCATTAAACGCTAAGCAGTGGCGTATCTGCTGAGCGAGTAAACGAGACGCTGGCCCCAATGAAGACAAAAAATAAAAACTTTATTCCTTCAGGTTACCCTCACACACAGAGACACTTGGGTGCTCAGTACAAGCACATGCTGAGCAGCCAAATCAAGCTCTGGTGTCTGCTCTGTGAGGCTCCATTCACACATTGGCATTTTGGGATCACGGCAGAATCGGTGCAATCCTGCCTGCAATCTCAAAACGCACTACAATCACAAAACGCAGGTTCAGGTGCTATTATCTTCAATGGCACATAGCACCTAAAACGTGGTGTGAAGTTGGTAATTGATAAAAATTTGACTGTGCCTAACAATGTGTTACTATTATTGCATATTTTTGGTCGATTTTGTTGTTTTTCTATTTACATTGTGCTTGAATTCATTGATTCATTGTTTGCGTCCCACAACTCATGATGGTGGGTTGTGTTTTCTGAGTTTTTTTTGTATACTTTTTCTAAAAAAACTAATAAAAAATATTGAAATATAATACGTGGTGTGATTTTTGCAGCATTTTTCACGCGGAAGATCGCATTGCGAAGCTTGTTGCCCAAAAGAAGCTTGCAGCAAAACTGCACTGTGTTTTAGGTGTCATTGAAAAACAAGGGCGCATGAACCTGCGTTTTGCAAATGTATTGCGTTTTGAGATCCCGAGCAGAATTGCAGCAAGCCTTAGTCCCTCATACAGTAAACCCTGCTGCTTGCTTGCAGCAGGGCTAAATGTAAGAAAAAAGAAACGCCTATCGGTCGCCCGGAAGTGCATTTGTCGGGCAATATGATTTGCACATCCCTGCCTCTGTACAAAATCTCATAATACAAAAAATAGCCCTCTGACTCCTGGGATTAGTGATGATAATATCCCAGGAGTCAGCAGGACTAGAGCTGACTATGTTGCTTGCCTAAGCAAATGATGTAGATGAGGACCAGTCCTACTGGAATTACTGTTTTTACAGGTAGCAAAATGTAGTTTTGTAATCCACTGACATTTAAGGAGGGAGTGACACATCCTTTAGAATCAACATTACAGAATGGCTGAAGATCCACTATAATGTGGCCATGCACATGCAGGCATTTATGTGCTGATTTGTGCACAGCGTTCAGGGAATAAGAAAAAAATGCCTTAAGGCTGCATTTGGAGAGGCACTTATGAACATAATTTACGTGTGTATGCATAAGACTGTTCTAGTGGCTAGAATACATGAATATTCTATATAATGGAATGAGTTTACATAAATACACACATAAACTCATGAAAATATGTGCGCAACTATGCAAGGTTAGAGGCATTTGTATGCTAACCTCTGGAAGCATAATTGGAACATACCTGTGTGCTTGAGTCCTAACGGGGGCACGGGCAGCAATGGAAACCTGACAGATGTTCTACTCCATCTCCACTCTATCCAAAACTAAAAAAAGAAGGGTTGCCTTTAGTTACATTTTAAAGTGGTTCTAAAGGCTCAAGGTTTTCTGCCTTCATGCATTCTATGCATGAAGGTGAAAAACCTTCTGTGTACAGCAGACCCCTAAAACTCACCTAAGTCCCCTCTCGATCCAGCCATGTGCACTGGAGTCTCTGCTATCCCTAGCCTCCATCTTCTCATTGGCTGAGACAGAATTTGGAGCCATTGGCTTCCATTGCTGTCAATCACGGACAGTAAGTCAATGAGAAGAGAGATGGGGCGGGGCCGAGCCTCTGCTCTGTGTGTGGAAAGTGTGTGTGTATATGTGTGTGTGTGTATGTATGTATGTATGTATGTGTGTGTGTGTGTGTGTATATATATATATATGTGCGTGTGTGTGTGTGTGTGTATGTATGTATATATATATATATATATATATATATTACTTTAA